AATAATGTCAGCGATTGCTACTTTAATATTAGTTATGTAGATTTGAAATTTTTATATTTAGTTTTAACTTTTTTATGGAGAATTATTAGTGTACAACAAATGATATAAGTTTAGGGCTTGTTTGGCATTATTTTTGGTTTTTGGTTTTCAGTTTTCAGTTTTTAATTTTTTTGAAAACCAAAAACAGGAAACAAGAAAAAGGTGTTTTTCACTTTTCTGTTGTCAGTTTTCAAAATCATCATGATTTTAATAAGTTTGACTAATTTTTTATTCACTATATGATATAAATCATATGATTTTAAAAAACAAAAAACCAAAAAACAGAAGACCATAGTGATGCTAAACGAATTCTTAACCTTTTGTTTTTTTTATGTAACTCTAAACTTGATACGATTTTAATATAAATGGGATAAGGTTTATAAGGAATATAATTACTATCAATTACTCGGATTTGATTTTCAATCATTTAAATAAGTATTATGAGTTTACAAATAAAGCATAGATAATTTTATTTGTTTTGTATAACTTTTATACAATTAATTTTTGATCATTTAGGAGGTAAGTTTGATCATTTTTATGACAACTTTACAACGGATATACAATAACTATTGTACATTTAAAAATTTTAAAAGTTTGTGTTTACAATTTTACATCAAGTTGTGATATTTTTGTATTAGATTTTGACAATATCAAATTTTGATATTTTTATAAGTAGAATTTGAAATCTCACGTTGAATATTGATATTCCTAGAGAAATATTAGGTTTATATTGTTTTAAGCCTTTTTTTTCTATGCCACATTAGATTTTTAATAATTTTTAGGAAAAATTAGAAAAATAACACCACAAATTTTGCAAAAATGAATTATAACACCACAAATTTTCAAACTTTTATTATAACACCACAAAAAAAAAAATCCAAAATTAGATTTCATTACCATCTAACGGATTCTTGGATGGAATCCGTTAGTGGGGCTCACCTTGGACACGTGTCACTCAGCTATTTTGTTAAAAATAAATATATTTTTTATAAAAACCTAAACCCTAACCCAGCCCCACCACCAAAATTGCCGGCAGCCCAGCCCCAGCCCCTGCCACTTCCTGCCCCATCTTCATCGTCGAAACCAGCGAGCCCCACCACCAGCGAAACACCATCGTCGCCCTATCACTTAGCAACAGCCCCATTACCACATCAATTGCCGAATAAAACCAGCCACCACTAGAGAAAACCACCCACTGCCAGAGAAAACCACACCCAATTCCACCCGCAGCCCTGCCAGATTAAGACTTCAATCCTTGCTTGCGCTGCGAAACCACGAACCTTAAACCAATGAAAAGGATTGTTGGTGGGCGGTGACGAGGTGTGGTTTCGATGTAGATGAGGAAAAGAAGGTGGTGGTGGTGACCTTTCCTTTTCGTCAGTGTAGGGAAGTGGTTTTAACAGTGAAGGAGGGGATGTGGTGGGTGGAGGTGAAGGCAAGTTGTTGCGTCGGTGAAGGAAGTGGTTCTGGCGGTAGTGGGGGGTCTCCGGTGGTGGAGTCACGGCCGCTGGTGGTGGGCTGGTGGCTGGGTTAGGGTTTAGGGGTTTTTCTTTGTATTTATTTTTTTTCTTTTTTTTCTTTTAATTTATCTTTTTTTAAAACCAATATCTTATTGCCACGTGTCCATCGTGGGCCCCTCTAACGAATTTCATCTAAAAAACTGTTAGATGGTGGTAAAATCCTTTTGTTCTTGTTTTTTTATGGTGTTATAATAAAAGTTTGAAAATTTGTGGTGTTATAATCCAATTTTTGTGAAATTTATGGTGTTATTTTCTAATTTTTCCTAATTTTTAATATTTAACAATTATGTTAAGACTCATCAAGATTATTCAACTAAATTTAGATCTTCATTCTTTAGACTCGTTTAAGATTCATAAATATATTTGTACTATTTTTTTCCCTTTATTTTTACATATTATATTTTCATAAGAAAGTTTACAATGGTGTATCATGTTACATATTGTACCTAGCTAATATTAAAATCAAACAAGGAGATACATAATTGCATGAATATTGTGATATACATAAGACCATAACTACGTACAATCGTGATTATCTTGTCCCTTTCGTTAATGATTCATGAATGGTTTATAAGTTATATATAAGACTAGTTGGCAGTTCCTTACTTTGTCCCTTGTTCTATTCGATTCGACATCAGTTCCACATCTATCAATGGTTGTCAAGTGCATTCACTCTTGTGTAAGGTGTATTGACACCTATATATGACCGCTACAATTGGGAATTTCATGCTCCAACTCGACATTAATAATGATTAGAGTAGTTTCATTTTGTATTTACCTAACATTTAAGTTGTATTGATTATTGTTGATTGAGTTGTACTGATTATTGTTGATTGAGTTGTACTTAGTTAGAAATGGTATAGTATACTTGTATGTAGTTTATAGGGTTTAATTTATACTTCCAATGTTTATTATTTTATTAATTTTAATTTTTTTTAGTTTCAACACTTCTCTTTTCATGCATCCTGATGAATTATTTCAATCACTAATATATTTAATTACCAATTGGTAAAAATTATAAATATTTGATATTAAAGTAGTATAAATCAAGACGAATCAAATAAGATTCCACGTGACTATATTTTTTCTTAGCTATAAATCACCAATGTTAGTCAAAGTGAAGCTAATTAATGAATAGTGTAAAATTCAAACTATTGTAAGTATTAAAAAAAACGGAGAAAGTATGTTATTATAACATACTTATAAGCAATTCATTTCGGGGTAACATTGAAGAATCTAGTAATAGTAATTGAATAAAATATATTATAGATTTTGAGCAAAATTAATGTTAGATTTTAAACTATGCAATTACACATGTACTATACTATTTTTGTGCCTATTTCTTAAAAAGAAAAAGTGAAATTCAATCTTATTCAATCAAGTAATTTAATTTTAATAAATATAATTTAAGTTTAGCAGAAATAAGGTTTTAAAAAATTGTTTCATATTGAAAATGAAAAATTTTAGGGCATGTCCACTTCAGCTTAATTTCAGTTCAGTTTAGTTCATTTAAGCTCCAATCAGTTCGGTTCAGTCCAATCAATACAATTTAGTTCAGTTCAACTCAGTTCAGTAAATGTGAACAGGCCCTTAGTTACAAATTGATTTCAGCTCGATAATAATAATATTATTTTGTAAAAAAAATATTTATTTCAATAAATATAATTTCAATTTAGTAAAAGTAAGTTTTAATCAATAAAAATCGATCACCTCACACAATAAGTATAAAAAGAGAATAGTATAATAAATTTTAATCGGTATAATTAATTGCAATTCAATAAAAAAAATACACCTATATCTTTTATTATTTACAACAATAAAGAAAATATTTCGCAAATAATAAGAAACGTTTCGGGCTCATTTGACATTGTTTAAACCAAAAACAAAAAAACATGAAAAAGGTGCTTCACTTTTCTTTTGTAAGTTTTTAAAATTATCATAATTTTAATAAGTTTAACTAATTTTTTTATTCATGATGTAACGTATATCATATAATTTAGGGAAATTCTCAATGGTGCTCTTAAGGTTTTTATTTTTCTCAATGGTAAACCACAAAAAATTAGATTATCTTTGGTAATCAATTATTTGTATTATTAATTCAATGGTGACATTAATAAGATTAATCTACAAATAGAAGCCTAACCATAGTTTACAAAAGGCAAATGACTAATATACCCTTGAAAAATCATATTTTCCTTTATTTTTTTAAACAATGAAAAAGAAAAAAATCACCCACCAGACCACTCCAATACTCCACCTTGCCCAACGCCCAAACCCGATCCACCTACCCCCGGCGCTGACCACTCCCAGACCTCCCTCCCCCGATGGCTAACACCAGCGCCGATTCCCTTCCCCTGTAGCGACGCCTCCTTTTCCTCTCTCTCGGATCCCCCACTCAAAACCCACAAAATCCGTAACCGTACTGAAACCTCCAATCAAGCAGCCTCGACCTCCATTGACAACCACCCCAGGCGCCACCCACCAACTGAAACCCTAGCTGGATATCGTCGACCAACACCCCCATTCCGTCCAGTCACCTTCGATCTACGCCTCTGGTCACCTGCAAATTTTTATTTCACCTTCCTAATCTGAAATTTAGGTCTAATAATCACTATATTTATATGTTCTACTAATCAAAAGCTAACCACGATCTCATTTTTGGGTAATTAATGAAGATACATTTGCAAACAAAAAAAATAAAGACTAATCTACAAATTTATCGCACATTTCTTTGATTTGAGATGGTGTTGGTGGTGTTAGCGGCGCCGCGAAAGAGAGAGGAAATGACTGCGAGGGTAGGAATTGGGTTAAGGGTCGTGGAAACAAGGGAGAGGGGGTTCTGTCTGCGCTGGGGAGGGGATCTTGGTGGTAGCGATCGGCGCCGGCCTTGAGCTGGGAGAGCAGGGGTGGCGGGGGGAAGGATTGTGGTGGTGGGTTTTTGTTAAAAAGGGATATTTCAAGGATATATTTTTTCCCAACCTTTTAAAACATTAACCATAGTTAATATTCTTTAAAAAACTTAACTAATGTTACCATTGAATCAATTTTATAAATTATAGATTACCAAAGATAATCTAATTTTTTGTGGTTTACCATTGAGAAAAATAAAACCTTAAGAGTACCATTGAGAATCTAATATATATATATATATATATATATATATATATAAAGGGGAGTTTTTTCCCGAGTTTTTAGAGAGCCACGTAGGATCTAATTTTCTCAGCGCGCCATGTAAGATTATAAATCTTAGTAGTAGCCAATTAAATAAAAGATTATTAATTTCTTTTAGAATTAAATAATTTAAATGCCATGCAAGCAATATTGGCGAATGATATTTTTAAGTTTAAATTAATTTAATATTAGGAATTTTATCTAAATATATAATAAATTTTAGGCTCATAAATACAAAAAAAAAACATTATTTAAAAAAAATCAAAGAAACCGTGCATCGCACGGACTTCATCTAATTTCCTTATAATTTAAAAAGTTAAAAATCAATAAACAGAAAACCACATTGCTGAACTAGGCCCGCTAGCCCGTAACAAGCACCGGTAAAATAAAAACAAGACCTCGACTGAGCTCTTACTTGAGAAATGAAGAGAAAGAGAGGAGAGAGACAAACCGAGCAGCTCGAAGAAGAAGCAACAGCAACAGCTACAGCTACATCCGCCATTAGCACCACTACTAACGACATGAACATAGTGTGGCAAACTCCTGCTAATCCTCCTCTTCGCGATGATTACATTTGCCTTAACGGTAAACATAAACCCTCCATTCAATTTCAATTCATTTTTTTTGAATTTTATGTGACGTTTTTCGTCAATTTGGCGCCAATTTTTTGTTCTCAGGAAGGCGACATGTGAAGCCGTATTACTTCGAGTTCATCTGCCATGTTAGTTATTTCTGAATTTCATTTTGAATTTTTTACTGAGATTATGAAATTCAATTGAAATTGAACTAAGTTTTTAATTTTAATGATATTTAGGGTTGATTGCAGGTGAAGAATCGTTGGGCGGGGAAAACTATAGTGGATATGTTTTCTGAGGAATTTAAAGGGCGGAATCATGATTACTATGTAAGTAAAGAATCTCAATTGGTACTGAATGTTTTTTATGAGAAAATCTAATGGAATTGAAATAATAAAAAAAAGTTATATTACGCGTTTCCATTATTAGTTGTTTGGTATACGCAAGGAAAGGAATTGCTTGTATCGATTTGAGGATTGGGGGCTTGGAAAGGGTGACAAATGATTGGTAATGGTTCTTCTTAGGAGGTAGAGTGTGTTAACCTAACTATCATACCAAACAATTGGTAACGGAAACAATGATTTTGACTCAATTTTTACTTGAAAACGCTATACCATACGTGCTCTTAGGGCCTGTTCCGATTGACTGAATTCACCTGAACTGAACTGGACTTATTAATTAATGATTTTTAACTACGGATTAGTGATATTTGATTATTTATTGATTATTTATTACTATACATATGTGTATATACAAATGTACATATTAAAATATTTACGAAAAATATACTATATAATTATAAAATTTATGGAAAATATATTAAAAACTTGAAATCTCTAAACATTTTAAACACATATACTATTTAATTTAAAAATAAAATAGTATTATGACAAAAGAACACAAAACACTTACATGTATCTAACCCATTTGAACAATGAATTGTATCAATATTATTATTATTATTATTATTATAAATTATTGATTATTATTATTTATTGATTATTATTATTATTATTATTGTTATTATTATTATTATTATTATTATTTATTGATGATTATTATTATTATTATTTATTGATTATTATTATTAGTATTATTATTTCAATTATTAGTATTATTATTATTATTTATTACTTATTGATTATTATTATTATTATTGTTAATATTATTATTATTATTATTATTATTATTATTATTATTATTATTATTGTTGTTGTTGTTGTTGTTGTTGTTGTAATAAGAACCTAAAAGAATGAAATTTGGCTTTATATCATTAGCAATATCATTAGACATAAATTAAGAGCTGAACTGAACGGAAGAGAACAAGCCCTTAGTGTGCGTTCATTTGGATTGTTTGCACTTTTTTGTTCGGGAACATGGGACTTATTAACAGCATTTCTGTTAGAATTTAGAAGTAATTGTTAGGCCAGATTAGGGTTTCTCAGGATGCGTGCTATGCACGATTTTGGAATACTCCTATTCTAAGGTTTAAAATAACTTTAAATAAGAGCATTTTGGTAATTTCTGTATTTAACGAATGTGGGCCCGTAGGAGGTCCAAACAAGTGTTACAGCTAGCAGTTTAATGACATATAGTTGAATTATTCTGGCAAGGTTGCAGTTGGAAAAGAAAAAGAAAGTGTTTAAAATGATGCCTTCTATACCCAAGAGGCCAAGACATTGTAAACTTTTTACTTGGTGATTTTGTCCTTGTATGTTACATGGTAAAAACATAACATAGGCGGTATAAGTCTATCAAAACAATTATATTGATCAGATAAGTAGCTTATTGCAACCCCCCCTATTATATATTAGGGAATATTGATTTGAAGAACCAGGCTCTTGCCATTTCTAAGAGATGCTATATTTAACTAAGGTACGCTCTTGCTTTGACGTTTGATGCTCAATACCCTAGATTTGCAGCATCTTTTCATAATTTTAAAATGTTATCAGTCCTCTTTTATTTAACAATAGCATTGAGCTATTTTTGAACGTGTGTCTTAAAGGTTTGATAACAAATTGTAGTAAACATTAGTTTTACTACCCATAAAACTTGTCCATGTACTTCTTGTATAGTTCTACACACATTGTGTGATCTATATGTATACACATAAATGATGTGTCTACATAGTGCATACTGTATACACACAAACACATACATACACATGTAGGTGAGGGTGTGCACACATAATTAATGTCTACATTAGCGCATATTGTATACTCACACACACACACAAACATGTGGGTGAGGGTGTGCACAAATAGACCAACATCGTACTGGACCTAACACGACTAGACTGGTTTCTAATCCATGTAAACAAAAGAATCCGAGTTACTGGTATAAACTGGAATTTTCCACTTCAGACTAAAACTTTATGTCTTTTCAAGTGTTATACCTTGATTGACACATATGACAATATATTTTTGCTGAAATTATTTTTATTGAATCTCTATTATATTTCTTCTTTACATTTACTGAATTTTATTGAACTGAAATTATTTTTACTGAACTGAAATTATTTTTGCTAAACTGAACTTATTTATATTGAATATTATTTTTATAAGGTGAAGTGAACAGGGCCTTAATCTTAAAAAATACTTGCTCTGTTTTTTTAGTTGACACCTTTCTATTATCACGCTTGGCAACACATGTTTTAACGATTAGTATCTCTAATTATCAATATTGTAAAATTATAAAAAGTGGATATTAATAAAATATACATTGAAATGATTCAAACAAGATCTCGCATGAATATGTTTTATCATATCTATAAACCACAAAAGCGAGTCAAAGCGTGTTGTGTGACTAGTGTAAAAGTTAAACGGCGTAATGGAGGAAGTATATAAGTTAGACATAAAATTACTTAAGGATATACAGTGGTGTTAAAAAATTATTGAAAACAGAATGATGTGAGGATATAAATAATATAAATAGTAGCGTGGGAGAGTGGGGATGAATGGATGATGAGAGGAGAAAGATAATATGAATGTAGTAGTTTGCTATAAGAGGAAGTCTAACACTTAAAAAACCTGTAGAGCGTACCTTTTTTTAAAAATTTTTTGGGCTTCCTGTGCCTTTTTCTTTCTTTTCCTCCTTAAATTTTCTCTCTTCTTTATTCTCTATCCTCATTCATTCTCTCTTTTCTTAGCAATTTACATACTTTCTTCCTTTTCCCTTCTCTCTTCATATTACCTCCATCAGATCTCTCGTCTTCTTGATTTCTTCTTCCACAGTGGAGCCAAATCGAGCCAAATCATTGGCATTATTCTATTAGGTATTTTTTCCGTTTCATATTAGTTTACCCATTTCTTTAGGCACATTTTCCAATGCATGATTTCAAATACTAATATCTTCAACTATTAATCCGCAAGCATTATAAAGAGTTTATATGTAGTATTATGAAAATACACATTGAGACGAATTTAACAAGACCCCACATGATTTTGTTTTCTCTTAAGTATACATCACAATTCACAAAAAAGAAGTCAAAGTAACATATGTGAATAGTGCTAAAGTCAAAACGTGTCAAATAATAAGAAACGGAGGAAGTATTTATGTAATTTATATGGTGTATTCAGTAAATATGTAATGCAATTGTGAAGTTTTTGTTGGGAAAGATCACAAATAATCTTGCAGCGGAAATAATATTTACTTTCCCTTTGTATATAAACAATATAGGTAACAATAATATCTCTATAATATAATAGATTAACTCACAAAGTGTTTATAAAATATGAACTAATATTCGATGGTATACTCTCAAATTTAAATTGTGTTTCCATTTATCCAAAATAATGTGATACAAATTCTATCTCAATTTACTACTAACAATTAATCTGATTACACATTTATAATCACCCTGTAACTAAATAACTAATGATGCAAATTATTGTTGTATAATTTGCCATTGGTTATTTCTTATTTAACTACCACTCTTCTTCTTTTTCTCTCCTTTTATTTCTTATACTCCGCAATTTCTTCTTTATTTGTTTTTAGCAAACTCCAAATAAGGAGAAATATTATCCAACAAATCTCCCCCTTTCGACTTATTAGGAGATTATTGATAAACCCGCTTCATTTCAACAAACATCAAGCTTTTGCAGGGTCAATGTTTTTGTCATCATATCTAAACCATTGTGGTTGGTATGAATCTTTTCCAAATGCAACAGCTTGGCTTCAAAGACTTCTCGTATCCCATGATACCTTACGTCTATATGTTTGGAACGGGCATGGAAAGTAGGATTTTTCGCCACATGAATAGCACTTTGGCTATCACAGTAAAGTGAATACTTATCTTGTTTAATCCCTAACTCTTGTAGGAAATTCTTCATCCACAATATCTCTTTACAAGCTTCCGTTGTTGATAATGCAACACATTTCTGTAACCTAGACTGCCATGATATAACTCTCCCTGTAAAGTCCAGTCCATATAGCCTGATACTGACTTTCGCGAATCAACATCATTTGCCATATTTGTGTAACCTTTTAACACAGGATCTCCTTGACCAAAACATAAGCACATTTTTGATGTGCCTAGTAAATACCTTAGAATCCATTTAACACCTTCCCAGTGCTCTTTTCATGGATTCGGGAGAAACCTATTGACAACACCTACCAAATAGGCAATGTCTAGACATACATCAAACTACCAACTGCACATGAATAAGGAACTTTATCCATCTCTTGTCATTCTTTCTCACTTGTAGGACATTGTTGAGAGCTCAACTTAAAACGACTTGCAAGTGGAGAACTTACTGGTTTAGCCTTATGCATATTAAACCTCTCGAGTAGCTTCTCAATATATGTTTCTTGTGACAACCATAACTTTTTATTTTTCCTGCGTGAGATTTTTATGCCTAGTATCTGTTTTGCTGGTCCTAATTCTTTCATGGCAAAGAACTTATTCATTGCTTTTTCAAGTTAGCTATTTATTGGTGTCGCGACCAATTATTAACATATCATCGACATAAAGGAGTAAAATAATATAATCTCCCTCTACAATTCTTTTTATGAACACACAATGATTCGATGTCGTCTTGTGATACTTATGATCCTTTATAAAGGATTCAAATTTTCGATACCATTCACGCGGAGCTTGTTTTAAACCATGCAAGATCTTATTCAAACGACATACCATGTGCTTTTTTCCTTCAACCTGGAATCCCTCATGTTGTTCCATAAATATTTCTTCTTCCAAATCACCATGTAGGAAGGCTGTTTTCACATCTAGTTGCTCAATTTCTAAATCCATGCATGCTGCCATGCCGAGAACAACTTGTATTGATGACATTTTCACCGCCGGTGAGAATATTTCTTCAAAGTTAATACCTTTCTTTTGACTAAACCCCTTCACAACCGGCCTTGCTTTGTATCTTGGTTGTGGATTATTATCTTCACTCTTCAATTTGCACCCACTTATTCTTGAGTGCTGGCTACCATATTTGGTAGCTGTGCCAAAGCAAATGTATGATTCTCATGCAAGGATCTTATTTCATCTTGCATGGCTTCAATCCACTCTTTTTGGTGAATATCTCTTAAAGCCTCATCATAAGACTCTAGCCCTCCACCTTCAGTCAATATAGTCACCATTAGCAAATTTTGCTGAAAGCCGTCTATCACTATTAGACCTTCTTAACTCTAGTGGTGATGGTGGTTGATTTTCTTGTTGTGTTATCTGTTCCACATTCTCATGATTATCATCATAATTGTCAATGTCGTGAGGATGATTTTCTTGGTTTATTTCTCCCCCGTGATCATCAACTACACCCGGGGAAGGAACTGGATTCACAATTATAGGCAATTCTTCATAGGATGTTGTAGATTTTCCCAATTCTTGTATGTCTTCAATGGTTTGATCTTAAAGAAGACGACATCTCTACTTCTAACAATCTTTCTTTGAGAAGGACTCCATAACCTATAACCGAACTCATCTTCAGGATAGCCAAGAAAAATACATTGTTTTGTCTTGCTATCAAGTTTTGATCTTTCATCCCTCGGGATTGAACAAAAGCTCTACATCCAAACACCTTTAAACATTCATAATTTACTTTTCTGCCCGACCATATCATTTGTGGAATTTCACCAACAAGTAGAACTGAAGGAGATAGATTGATCAAATGAAGTGCATTTTTAACTGCCTCCCCCCGAAATGATTTGGGTAATTTTGCGTGAGATAACATTGAACGAGCTTTTTCAGTGATCGTACGATTCATCATTTCTGTTATACCATTTTGTTGAGGCGTTTTTGGGATAGTTTTCTCAAACCTTTATCCCATATTTCCTGCAATATTCTTCAAATGGGCCTCTATACTCACCACCATTATCAGATTGTTCATCTTTTAATTTCATGCTAATTTCTTTCTCTACTTTTGCATGAAACTCCTTGAACGTATCAAGGACTTGGTCTTTACTTTTCAAAAGATAGACCCATACTTTCCTAGAATGGTCATCAATAAATGTGACAAAATAAGATGCCCCACCAAGAGATTTTTCTGTCATAGAACATACATTGTCATAGAACATACATTTGTGTGAATCAAATCTAGAACTCGTGGTCTTCTAGATGGTGGGTTTCTTCGAAATGAAACTTTGTGTTGTTTTCCAGCTAAACAATCAACACAAGATTTCAAATGAACATCCTTTAAAGGAAGGAGTTTCTTTCGAGTGAGGATTTGCAATCCCTTCTCACTCATATGTCCGAGTTGTTTATGCCATAACTCGGTAGAACATTCTTCGGCTATATTCAACTGTGTGTTTGAGCTTCCCATTTGTAACATAAAGGGTTTGTTGCTTCTTTCCATGAGCAATGATTATCGAACCTCTCGACAACTTCCACTTTCCATTAGAAAAGTGATTTGCATACCCTTCATCGTCAAGTTTGCTTGAGATCAAATTCAACCTTATATCCGGAACATGTCTGACATCGTGTAGTGTTAGCATGCACTCTGCATTGGTTTCCAAGCAAACATCTCCAATACTAATAATTTTGGAGGATCCATTATTTCCCATCCTCACAAAGCCAAGATCGTTGCTAGTGTAAGATGTGAAGTAATCTTTGTTTGCAGTTAAATGATATGAAGCACCTGTATCAATCACCCAACTACAATCTTCATTTGTAAGGTTATAACATGAATCATCACTTGCAAAATAAACTTCATCACCACAAACTGCTGTAGCTATGTCATTTTTCTTGTCTTCATTATCACTACTCTTGTCATTCTTTGATCGCATGTCCCTCTTCCATATTCGACATTCACTTTGCTTATGTCTTGCCTTATGACAATAAAAGCAAATGAACCTCTTCTTAGATTTTGATCTGCCTCTTGTTTTATCTTGACTTTGGGAGCCTCTAAACATTGGTCTCCCTCCACTTTCAGCAATGTGTGATTCAGTTTGATTATTTGTGGAGGCAAATTCTTTTCTTCTAGCTTCTTCATTGAACAAGCTATCTTTCACCATGTCAAGGGTGAGTTTACCATTCGGAGCCGAATTTAACGAGATAACAAGAGTTTCCCAACTATCGGGTAATGAGCTAAGGAGTAATAAGGCTTGGACTTCCTCATCAATAGTCATGCTAACATTTGTTAGCTGATTAACAATGCCTTGAAATTCATTCATGTGTTCTGCCATATTTTTATTTTCTTTGTATAGAAGACGAACCAACATTCTCACCAATGTAGCTTTATTTAAAGCTGTCTTCCTCTCATACATTGACTCAAGCTTTTTCTATAGCTTGTAGGCATTGGTATCATTAGCAACATGTTGAAAAATACTTTGATCAATATCTTGTCGTATCAACCCGACTGCCTTTTGATTCTCCAATTTCCATACATCTTCGGTTTTACTTTCCGGTTTATTTTCTTCCTCGATGGGTTTATACAAATCCTTACATTAAAGAATATCGTCCATTCGAGACTTCCACATGGAATAATTGGACGACGTCAATTTGATCATTCCAGATAAGCTTACCATCGAATCTTCCATTTTGTTTTATACAACATGTATGTCTGTAACCGGCTCTGATTCAGACTGTTGGGAAAGATCACAAATAATCTTGCAGCGGAAATAATATTTACTTTCCCTTTGTATATAAACAAAATAGGTAACAAATATATCTCTATAATATAATAGATTAACTCACAAAGTGTTTATAAAATATAAACTAATATTCGATGGTATACTCTCAAATTTAAATTGTGTTTCTATTTATCCAAAATAATGTGATACAAGTTCTATCTCAGTTTACTACCAACAATTAATCTGATTACACATTTATAATCACCCTATATAACTAAATAGATTTGCTATATCATATACTTTGTATCTAGTTAGGGCTTATGCTTGCCTAAAATAACAAAAAAAGGGCCTTTAATCCTTTATCATATAAAACAGGTTTAAACCTGAGCAGACCAGACAAAAAAAGTCCTGTCCAGTGGGACAGTTTTTTACAAGTCCGGTCTTTTCTCTTCAAAATAGATGTTTTCGGTTCTAGTTCAAATCGTGTTCGCTCTGATCCGGTTTTGGACCGGTACACGGTCCTAATTGCAGTTTGTTGCTGTTTAATATATAAAGGCGGTATATTCTTTTTTTAGAGGCATAGAAATGAATTTGTTCCCTTTTGCCAACCTACAAACTCTTACTTAGTCCACATAATTGAAATTTCTACCTCTTTCCCCAATGTTGGAACTAAATTACATTTTGCACTTCGTATGTTCAGGTTCTGCATAATGCATTAAATTATTAAATTAAAAATAACAAAACCAGCAATAATATTTTTCTAACTTCACAAATTTGCAAAACTCTTGTTGTTCTTATCTTAATGCTGCTAGATTGTTTTTTCTTTTTGTTTATCCTTATTTACTTCTGATTATACTTCCTGAGGGAGGAGTTAATTTGGTTACACTTCATCTTTGTTTACTAAAAATTTTAAAAAAAATATCATTTTAGATAAGGAGGCTACCTAAGTTTAATTCACATTATTTTAGATAAGGGGGTTACCCAAGTTCAATTCACTACTAATTTAAGTTTAATAATCTCTTATTAATCCAGAGAAGCATTATTTTCATGTGAAAAGATTAAAGTCTTAGATGCCTGTGAAATAGGCTGTAGCAACTAACGTAACACATATGCTTATCTGGATTTGGTCTCTGCAAGTTATGTTATAAATGTATGAAAGTGGCCCGTGAATTATGCTAGGAATTAGCATGGTTTCTGACATGATTACAGCTCTAACTATGGCAGAAATTAGGGAAGAAGAATGCTGATGATGTTGATAATATGTGACTTACACTAATTGAGTGATATTTCCACTTTCGAGAGGTGGATTCTCTCCTAATTTGAGCTTTCGAGAGGCTCACTCTCTCCCTATAACAAACCTCAATAATATTCAACATATCCTTATTCCTCCTAAGAGGCCTATTTATAGAAAAACTCTCATACAAAAAACTCTAACTTATTCCCCAAGTCACTACAAATAGACTCTGACTAACATGCCCTCCCCTTAATATTGATTCCTTGCAAATTAACACACTTAACACACTTAGTGTGTATAACTTCTATTTCGATTTATTCCATACTATGGTTTGTATTGCACTCTATGTAAGATCATTAGATTATGAGGACTTAGGAGGCTTATTGCTTGGAGTTGGTTCTGCAGGAGAGAGCTGTTAAATGTGGAAGAATACAAGTTGATGGAAAAAATGTCTCTATTTACTACAGACTTAAACCATCAGAAAAGATCAGCCACTTTGTCCACAGGTTAAATTTGCAAAAACTCTCTTAAAATGACCTGTTTCATATTTTTGGTGATGGACACCATTGTTCTTATACTGCTATATTAAGTCCTATGTAGTAATTAATATTACAAAAGTTTGTAGGCATGAACCACCTGTAATGGCCTGGGATGTCTCGGTTCTGCAGGAAGAAAAAGATGTGGTGACTGTCTGCAAGCCGGCTTCTGTTCCGGTAAGTCTTAATATTGCTATTTTCGTTTGTAAACTACCCTTCTGCATGGGAAAAGCCTCAGTTTTGAGGTGAATATTATTCACTTGAGAGAAGTGAGACTTAGAATGTGGAAGCTCTTAGGACTTGTTACATAAGTGCATATCTTGGTTGTGGGTTAATGTTTTATATCCATTTATGAAATTTATTATTCTTCTCTTTAAAATTTTGGGATCTTTTTTTATGATTTGTGCATGTTGCTATCAATTTCAGAGATGGGTTAGGTCTTGATATTTTATGTTTACACTGTCAGCATGGACTTTGCACTTGTTTGTTGCACACTTAGGGAGATTCTAAGAATTATAGAAGGCCTCGTGTTGTTTCAAAGAGCAACGTCTTTCTTTTTTAGCAGCTTATATTCATATCATAGTATTATTATAGTTATGTTTTCGTTCTTTTTATCAAAGGTTCATCCTTGCGGTCAATATCGGAAGAACACGGTTGTGGGAATTCTCGAGGCGGAACATGGTTTGGCCCCACTATTTCGTATCCTAATTTGTGTTTTTGCTTTCTCTTTATTTATTATATTAACTAGTGTGTGGCCCGGGCGTTGCACCGACTTGCTACTTTGAAACATAATGTTAGTAAAGAAAAAGAGTATTTTATAAAATAATTTTCCATTGCCTTGGAGTTGTTGAAGTTATTCTCTTTATTCATTTTTTATAGGCTACTTAATTATTCTTTTATCCATTGTTGTGCTTACTTAAAACATATTTATTTATGTAGAGGACATAAATTACTATTGGCTAAGATGGTAAGTAATGTGATCTTATATTCACGAGGTTCAATGTTCAAATCTTGTAAGATGTTTTTATCTCATTAATAATGACATGGATTAAATGTTGCAAAAATGCTAGTCGTGGTGACTTGGCGTAATGCTAGTGCAGATCTACATGGCATATAAACAATTTTAGGTATGCTTTTTAATATATAAGTATAGATTACAATGCTTATTGTGGAAATTTATCTTCTGTAATTAAAGAGCCAGATTCCTAGGCATAACTAGTCAATCTGTGTGTTATGTTAACATTTGAAAGCCTTGACAATTAAGTCCAGCAATACATAGGTTGGATCGACTCGTCTCTGGACTACTGATATTGGCCAGAAGCTCATCCCAGGCTGATAATTTCAGACAACAGGTAATTTTTGCATTGATATTACTTATTATTGTTATTAATTACTTTTGAACTTGGTACACTATGCCTGTATTTCACTTTAGAACTTGGCCAATCAGATGGACTTATGGCTGTGGATTGTGGACTTCTGAATTTTTATGATTTGATCTTTATTAGTTTGGTGCCTTAAGTAGCGGTACATTAATTTTAATTCATTTCAGCTCAGCTCCAATAAGTTCAGTTCAGTTCTTATCTTAATTTCCTTCTCTCATAAAATATTCAGTTCAGTTCAATTCTGCTCAACTCAGCTCCAATAAGTTAAGTTAAGTTCAGCTCAGCTCAATTCAGTCAATCAGAACAGGCTCAGCCATCACTTTTCTTTTTGAAGCAATATATTTGAGTCACTGTCTCGTTTATTCTGTACCAGAAGTTGTTTATTTAGGAGGTAAGTAGAAGTTTAAGTGCTGTAGGGATATAAAAAGGAATAACTAGATAAGATTACTGTAATTCAAATGCTGTCCAAAATACATCACATATGACATTTTAACTGCTAATTCTAATTCATGATAACTCTCTTCTCAAGCTGATCCAAGTATCGAATCCAACTTATATTTGGCTAATTCAAGATAAATCAGTCCAACCCAATATTTTAAGAATTAATTTTGTTTGGGCCTATGCAGTGTCATGCTTTTCATCTTTGTCAAATTTATCCTTGCCTAATAAAAACTCTACAATTGTACATTGTACCCTTTGTCATAAAGGAAAGTTAAACACGATGTCTTTTGGCTACCTTGTTTTAAATGTTTTGTAAAGATTGATTCTAAGGACTTTGCAGGTTAGTTTTCAAGATAATGTTGTATATCTGAACTTATAATATGGAACTATTAATCAACATATAAAAAAGCTCACAGCCCGGGTCCTGCTGCTCCTAGGAGCACCTTGGGTACGAAAAAGTCTGGTGTCAAATTATAGCAGTGCACCTCAGTTATGCTTCAAGTGTGCCTTGAATGCTCCTCATGTTCTTTAAGAAGTGGAATTGACGTTAATAAAGACCTCAATTCAAACACTTAACTAAACCAAAACTTAAGTATAGTGGCCAAGTACAGGTCAAGATCCACAAGGATTTAACTTGAGCTCATGAGTCTAAGCTAGATCAAAAATGGGTAAGTTGGATCGTCTAGGAACTTTACACTAGCAAGATATGGTGCATGACATTTAATACAGAGGAAGTTCTAGTGGGATAAAAGGATCTGTGACTCACCACTACATGTACATCAGGAGGAATAGGGGAGATAAGGATGGGGTGTGGCTTTTAATGAGCATGAACATTCAAGAGCATGACTTAGATAGCAACACACATGCTCGGTAGTTCTATCTTAAATTCCTCTCTTGAATCACAATAACATAACTTAACTATAATCATGATCCCATGTCAATCATAAGCAACACAAACCTTGGAAAGTTATCCACATCAATTTTACAATGTGTGTTTGCAGGCTAATCAATAACTCAACCACTAATTAGGGAGCCCTAGCATGTGCTAATGCTGACACCAATACAAAATTAATCAATTGATAGACTCAGAGAATTTTAAGCACAGAAACATCCTTCAATCTCTTAATTAACCTCAGGCATGCATTATTGGGTAACTTGGGTTTCACCCTACCCTACCTAGAATACTACTCACTTGCATATTTAGGTGCACTTGAATTGCAGCGGTAGACATAACTAAAGTAAATTAAGGTTCAAAATCTTCAAATATCATGATTGTTATGGTGAACACTTTTATACTGACTTCTACTTAATAAGAGTTGCACAAAGAGAAATTATGAGTTAAGTAACCTAAATCTTCTTCCATATAAAAAACTTTTAATAAGCAGTCATAATATTATGTGATCAATCACAAATCAAGCTATGGGTAGGCTAAGATTAGAGATTTTTTATTGAAATGAACAAGCATAATATAAGAAAGGATGAAAGAAAGCTATCTAATATCTATTGTTACTTCATAAACCTTCAAAAGTTGAGTACAAAGATGATCATCGATTATGATGAGATAGAGACCTAACATTATTGGTGTGTCTTTTAGAGCTTAATCTTTTGAACATTCACTGAAACCTTTTTTTCATTTAGCCCGAATACAATTCTACTGAAGCAAACTGATTTATGTTAAAGTGAGTCTAACATTTGGTTGGAGTGTTTGTATAAGTTAGTAGCAATCATGTGACCAGATTTGATGAATTGTTGCTGATTCTGTAAACACCGAGGGGAAAATAATTTTTGGCTTTGCATCAGAACAGTTGATGCTTGGATGAGATGAGAATTTATAATAAGGCTCAAGGCACACACTGCAGCAATAAGGATCCTTTTGTATCTTAGGTGCGCCTCAGTGTGCTTGCACTTAAAATAAAATTTTAAAATTTTGGTGAAAGAAAAAGTGCCTCTTTGAAATTGCCTCGTTGAGATCAATACAAGCTCTTGACCCCTATTCTCGGGGCGCAATTTGTGCCTCATTATTTTTCTTGAAAAATGATACTGATACAGTATGCTATCTTCACATGCCAGCATCTTATCAGCCAGAAATTCCATTGCAAGGTCTGCACTCATTCAACCACCCACAAGAGAACTATAGTAAGGGAGAGTTTCAGTCTGGAAAAAGTAAAACAAAAGGAAGTATTGAGGCTGGAAAGTTAGTGGATTGGGCTTTTAAAGGAATTGGAATTCGGACGGCTAAGTGATACAGCTGTGCAGATGTGTAAATGACAAAGATGCAAATTTTTGTGTGTTGGAATTAATATTTTCTTGAAAGGACAAGTGCATATGTATGAACTATACTTGGATCTATATCCACCCTTGCATGTTTTAAGGAATTTAAACCAGAGTTGAGAAGAAGAAATTTAGGAAGGAAACATAATATGCAGGAACAAAACCAGAAAAAGTATTCCAACAAGGTCTAAATTTTACGAAAAAAATAATGAAGAAAAGGCAGTTCTATGAAAGTAAATAGCAATTGTTGCTAAGTAAAAAATAATAAAGGCAACTAAAAATAGATGTTGGTATTGAAAATAAGATATGATCATTATACCCCTTTACATTCACGGAACTTCAAAAGTTTATCTAACCATTGAAATATAGTCTATATTTTGATGAAAAATTGTATAAAACTAATTTTATACATGTAGTGATTGGGCCTCCTTAGGCCCTAAGGCAGTTTCGCACCTGATAATATGTAAATATATGCTCATTTCTAGTACTAATTAATTTGCTTAAAATAATGACACACAAATATCAAATATTATTTCATGCCCTCTTTGCCCCAAAATTTGAGCTAGGCATATAATTTGGGAAGGAGCCAAGGAGGTATTATATTCAAAACTATACAAGTAAAATTGGATTAATAACAGTCAGTAACCTTGAAACATCTATTCCCTTAAATTTCCCAATAAATTTTATACAAGTCATCAATGCAATCAACTAATAGCTAGACAAGACCAGTAGCTTTTGAAATTAGTGATAGAGTGGAACTTGTGCAAGACATTTCCTCTAATAGACTTATTGACTACTGCTTGTAGAGATAAAAGTGTAAAACAAATTATACAATGCTTAAATTAATCACCAATTTGCTGAGGTAGGTTAATAACACTCTTGGATTTATTGCTGCATGCATGGTATCCTTTCTTTTGTTTGTGAAGTTATCTTTCCTTAATATGAAACCTTGGGTATCTGAAAGTAGGAGTTCATGTACAATTTTTAAATATATGTAGTTCATACACGTATTGGTTTAGAACTTTGGCCTTATTTGTCTGGATTTTCATTATAAGACATGTTATGCCAGTGTGTTTGTTAATTATTTTGCTAATTATTGACCTTCTGGTTTTCAGATTGAAGCTGGACTTGTGAAGAAACTGTATATTGCAAAGGTTGTAGGGGTATTTCCAGAGGGTGAGGTACTCTTTACATCAATCTCTTTAATTTATAATTTATCAAATAGTTTTGAAGTTTTCAAACAACATGATCTTGTATAGTTGTATTAATGAAATGGATAAGTTCTGGATTGGACAGCAAGATTGTAGTAGGATCTGATCCATTATCTCTTGACAATTTAACATTGCCATTTATCAATGTTGTGAGAGATGTAGTCCACTAATGTCTAGGTTATTTAATGCCTCATCTCTTTCACCCTTTCTTCTCATTTTTGTGGTCCACTTACATAGTTACATTAAAGATGTAACTTTGGGGATTCTGGAATCAGCTTAGCAATGACATGGCCCATATTGAATTTATGAAGATCATTTTGCATCATGATTGACTTGTAGTGGCTTAACTCTATGCGCCATAAGGTGACCATGAGGGCGTCCATGTGGTGAAAGAACCTGCCTTGTACCGTCCCATCTAAAGTGACTACAAATGAGGATCACGGTTGGTCAGGGCGGGGGTAGGGTAAAAGAGGGGATATCTTCCTCGATAGGAAGGAGGTAGCTCACTTGTTAAGTTTTATTAGTGTGAAGCCTGAAGCCTTCTTACCCTGAACATCCCAATGCATCCTCTGTGGTTGGCCTAGGCCAAGTCAAACTGAATGCAGCTGGAACAGCAGAGTGGTCGGTCTTTACAAAGCCCACTTTAGCATGCGATGTGGGTGATTAAGCCATCCAAGTAGATTTTTAATTTTTTTTAATTTTTTTTCAAATTTGTGTGTGTGTGTGTGTTTGTTTTGGGGGTGGGTGGGTGGGGGTGGGGTTGGGGTAGGGGATAGGGACCCTAGTCGTTTATCGAAGGTGCAAGGCTAGATAATAGGTGATATTCATTTTTTTTATTGCTTTGACCCCATATAGAAGAATACAATTAATCAATCTATTAAAATTTGAATTGTGTTAATTGTGAGTAATCGAATCATATTTCTATGCTTAATCAAATCTTTATCTTCTTAATCCTTCTCATGAATAAGCTATTTTCATTAGGCAGCCTTCTAACGATTTTTAGGGACATCTATTTTCTCTTTGCTATATCATGTTGTTAGCCTTGACTATTCTTTAAATTTTTAGCTACAATATTTAATACAATTGAGCATCATTAATTACTCGTGTTTGGTCCACTTAGGGAGCTTAGTAGTGGTGCTTAAGTAGGAAATTATAAAAAGAAGGTTGTGTTGGTTGGAAAAGTTTGAAACAAAAGGATTTTGGTTTTGTTAAAAGGTAGAAGATTCATTACTAGTAGAAATGTAAAGTAAACAAAAAGAGGAAAACAAGGAACTTGTTAATTTTTTAGTCAACCTAGTCACCCGATCGAGCTAGCTTGCCTTACCGGATTGGGCCTGCATGACAAACCAAGTGGAAACTGAAAAGTTCCTTTGCCCAACTGGATTGGCCCGCCAAGGCATGCATAAAGGTGGAAAAGTCTCATTGAAAATTGATATTTCAGCCCATTGCATCCAAAAGCAACCTCAAGAGTCTGATGTCTTTCGGTTGTGGTCCAAATGAATAAAAAAGCAAATTCAAGTACACCAATTATTACAATAATAAAACAATGCTACATAAACACTAGAAAGCACAAGAAGAGCACAATTGAGGTCAATAGTAGACAGGGGGCAGGTCAAAACTCTATAAAATTGACATATCAACATCTCAATTTGTTTTAACACTCTAGTTTAAAGGCGCAATATTTTATCATTCATTTTACTACTTCAATAAAGATTTTGAAGAGTATCCAATGCTTTTTAGGAACTTGTTGCGCTAGCAACTTTCTCAAACATATCATCAACAACTTTCACTCGTATATTATCAACTTTCTCAAACACATCACAGTCATAAGTGCACTTTGATCTTTTTTCCTCTTGTTTTTCAAAGCTTCTTTATAGGTTTTGTTTAATTTAGCCTATCCCATTTTCAGCAATCTCCCAAACTCATTGTGCATCAATAATTGTTTTTATGCAATGTGACCAGTTATCATAATTTTCTGTTGTGAGTCTAGGATATTGAAAAGCTATGACATTATTATTCTGTTGCCATATTCTATAAACTAGCTGTGATAGCAATACATTAGAAGTATATTGAACACTCACAAATACTTCACACAATATCATCGAGAGGAAAATATGCACGTAAAATAGTTCTCATGTAAATCTCTTAATATGAGAAACTGCAGTAAATTACATCATACACGTTGTTATAATGCTACCACCTAACTGTTTGACAGACACCGTATTTATCCTTAACAATTTCTCTGTCTTAATTGTAGTAAATGTCAAGTTTTGTTATTTTCAACATTTACCCTACTGCCTGCAGTTAAACTGTGTTTGTATTGAGTCAAGTTTAGCTGTTATTGATATGCTTGCTATTTATTTATTGAGCCTGAGTTGCATCATTTCCTTATTACTGAAAAAACGTTCATAATCTTATATGTGAAGGTGGCCATCATAGTGGCATTATATGGTTTGGAATTTGTGTGTAGTCACTTGTGCATATTGGTTTGGTTAAGAGGGTACCTTTTAATTGACCCTCCTACCACCCACCTTTCCAATGGACTCTCACTTGTCATTTGGTTTCTGAACCCGTGTCTACACAAGTACTCCTTCAGTTTTTTATTTATTTATTATTTTTTTAATTGCCCCATTTTGTCTTTTTGTACTATTTACATAGTCTCAATGTATAGTCAGTCTTTGAAGATCTTTTTTCAAAAAATAGAAATAAAAAATTATTGGCCAACTCATTAAAAAAAAAAAAAAAAGAGAGAGAAAATATTATACGACACAAGGATATGCGCATGAAGTTAGTAACATGTGTACTTGACTCTTGGCCATGTAATTGGACACTTCAAACTACTTTCATATTTCAACCAAAGTGAGGAGAGTGAACAGAAAAAAGAGTCTTAGGAGAGCGCAATATACTTACATGGAGTAGTTCTACTTTTCAGCAATACTTTAGTGACAATCTTTCTTTTCCTCTCTTCTTGGCTGCTCAGCTTGTGGGGCTGGGATATAGGGTTAAACTCTGAAATGGTATTATATGTGATATAATAAGACTTTAATGTTTAACACTCAGAGTCTTGGCGACGTAGGCTGAGGGACACAAAATAGGTTATGCTAGTTGTTTTTGCTGTCTTATCCTTGCATTGAAGTTTGCTGTTTGTTTCAAAGATTAAGACAATCACAGAGGTTGCACAAGTCTCATGCAGTCATGCCTGTATCCCTAGATATATCATCCTCTGTGCTCCATAGACAATCAGACAAAGATAAAGGAACAGAAAGATCTCACTTCCACTGTTTATAATAGTTATGATGACAAATCTGGCGCAATTTTTATAAAATATTCTATACTTTTGAATAACTATTGCTTTGATAATTATCTATATTTCTATTGATTTGGCACAATTGGTTTATCTTTTGCAGCAAGTAGTTGATGTAAATGTTAATTATGATGCTCGAGAAGGAAGAAGTACTGTGGAGGTATGATATTTCTCTAAACTATTGAAATTGTATGATAAAAAAAGTTTGATGGATTCGCAGTAGAAAGTTATGTGAATAAGTTTATGACATGGCCATAAGAAAAATATCATATATCTTAGATCTCATGGCTATGACCTGAAGGCCTTGTTGGCGCAATGCTTTTAGCAGGATCAGTTAGGCTTTAATAGCAATATGATGGTGGGGGATATAGGAGAACAGTGTTGGAATAAACGAAAAGAGGGATCTGGAAGACTGAGGAGGAAGAATGCAAAGAAATCAGGATAAGAAGAAAAAATTGGGAATACCAGATAATTTATCTTTTAGAAAATTTTTGGTATTTGGTACCTCAAAAATGGGGGGTGTTGAATTTTGGTATCCCTTTTTAACTTTATTTTACTTTGGTACCCATCAAAGTTAAAAAATATAGGTTTTGGTACTTCTGTCCAACTTCTGTTAAATTGTTCTAGGCGTGCGCGGTGGTCGTGGTGGCTGTGGCGTTCACGATGGTGGTTTCGGTGGTTTTGCTAGTTGTTTTGTGCGTTATGATTGGTGGTATTTGCGGTGGTTTTGTTTGTTGGTTGGTATTTGCGTGGAGATAGAGTATTTGCAGTGGTTTTGTGGTATTTGCGGTGGTATTTGTGTGTTGCTGCTGGTTGTGCGTGTTGTTGTTGTGGTGTTATGGTGGTTTTGTGTGTTGTGTTGGTGGTATTGCGGTGTTGCCGCAATAAAAGGGGCAGCGACACAAGAGGTTGTTGATGCGGCTGATGTTGTGGGGTTGGTGGTGCGTTTGGAGGTGAAGGGGTGGTTTTCGGGGTCGCCGGTAGCCGGTACGGGGAGGGGGAATGGCAATGTAGTGGCCGAGGAGGAGGAAGGGGTGGCTGGGAGGTGGCAGGAGTATGGTTGGGCCTCACTACGGCAAACTTAACAGAAAATAGACAGAAGTACCAAAATCTATATTTTGTAACTTTGATGGGAACCAAAATAAAATAAAGTTTTAAAGGGGTATCAAAATTCAACACCCCCCATTTTTTAGGTACCAAATTCCAAAATTTCCTATCTTTTATTAGCTTGAGTAATATCATTCTTGAATTTGGAATTATTGTGGACTAATTCAAAATAGCTCATCAAACTGGTCCCTCTTGTTTAAAAGTAGCTAACAATTGTAGCATCTGATTACTAAATTGGTAGGTTCTGATGGACTTAGCCTTTTACTCTTTTAGCGACTGGTTTGGGATGGATGCATACTTCTGACCCTCTTTAGTTACCTTACAATGGATGGTAGCCTCTTTAGAATTAAAAAAAAAAAGGAAAAATTGACATGAATATTATGACCTTTACCCAATCCGCCGTAAATAAAACCACCTTTTGATAATCTCTCAATAAAACGACCTTTGACATTGATCTTCCAAAAAAAGGACGAAACTGGTTGGTAACCTGTTTAATGGGTTAGCATGACACGTGTCACTTTGTAATTGGTAAGTTTTTATTTATTTATTTTTAAAATTTTATTATGAATAAATTGATTTTAATTATAAAACAAAAAACCAATAACCCCCAACAGCCACCTCCCACTCCGTCACTTGCGACTACCCACCACCTTCCCGGAATTCCTACACCGACCACCCTGCCTGAAACCCTTTCTCCAACTACCCACTTTGCCCCCACCAACTTGAAACCCCAATCCCACCACCACTAGCCCAAAATCTTACCCACCGGCCATAATATTGTAATTGCTTGAAACCATTAAAAAGGGGTGGAGAGGGGGAGGGTTTCATAGATTGGCGAGGGTCGGGTTGGAGATGGGAGGGTTGGCCGGTCTGGCAAGGGTTTGGGTTGCACGGTGGGCAGGAGAGGACTAGTGGGGGGGGGGGCTGATGACGCTGCGAGGGCCGATGATAATGGCGAAATATCAGCTGAAAGGGAGGATTTAAAGATGGTGTTGGTGGTGGGGTGGCTGGGCTGGTGGGGTTTGGTGTAGTGGTCACTAGTCAAGTAGTCAGTGAAGAGCTTTCATGGCAAGGGGGTTTGAAGAGCTTCCATGGCATGAACAGTTGAACGGTGAAGGGGTGGAGGTGATTTTTTTTTTTGTTAATAAAAAAAATCAAAATTCCCAAATTTGATTTTAATTTAATTTTATATAAATTGATTTTTTTTAAAAAAAAAAAGAAATATGTTAAAATTGAAATTAAAAATTCAACTAATCATAATGTGACATGTGTCCTTCCTCAACCTATTAAACAGGTTACCGGTTTTTTATCCTATTTATGGAAGATCAGTGTCAAAGGTCGTTTTATTGGGGGATTATCAAAAGGTGGTTTTATTTGTAGCGGACCGAGCAAAGGTCATAATATTTATGTCAATTTTTCCAAAAAAAAAAAGGGTTTGGTTGTAACTAGGACTATATCACAACCGGATCAAAAATTGGAAAGGACTGGAATTGGAATCCGGAATTCCGGACCATGCACAACCAGACCAAAAACTGGAAAAGGACTGAATTTTTTTATAAGGCTCACAAGATCAAATGGCTCATAGTATCAATTTTTTTTGGGAAAAACGAATGCAAAGAGTGAAAATAAAGTTAAAAGCAACTTACTGCTTTTCTTATTTAACATCTAAGAACAACGTAAATGCCAATATATAGGCTACAAACATATATAACGATCAAATAAATAGCAACTAACACATCCACTAACAACCTGTAATTTGTTAAACAAACGTATGTTATCAGGCTAAAATCAACCAACTTATAAACTATTTTCTAAGAATAAGATGCATCTATCCACTAACTTTGAAGCATAATATTTAACATTATGGATTTGAATGGAATATTTGTGTTTGGTTGAGCATTTTAATTTGAAGGACTTGATGGGGATAATCCGGAAATTGGTGGAGGAAAACCTAGTGCTACATGTTAATAAAGAGATGAAGTGGGTGATATTCATGGAAAGAATCCCAAACAAGGCATAAGAAGTTATTAGGAATCTCACATAGAGGGGAAATCAGAGTTACAATGGAGAAAGAAATAAGAAGACGATGTTTGAAAATCTAACTCATAACAAGAATAGGTACATTCTATAAGTAAAATTTACTGATTTAGTCTTGAGTGGCAGTTGCTTGCATTTTCTTGGCTATGAATCTCTGAAGTGGTCCTGCAGATCCTGCTCTGAGAAATACTTATCTCATGTATTTTTATTTTTCTTTTGTTTCTTTTTTTTAAATGTTTTGTTGCTTGTTATATGATGATTCATCTTTCCAAGTCACGCTTACATGTAAATTTTTGGTTGGTATACAATTTTAGACCCTCGTTGTATCTCATTTCAAGTGGTTTACCTCCACAATATCTTTACTGATTTCTTTGATTATTTAGGTTGGAGATGATGCTGTAAATGTAAAACTGAAAGGAAAGACTGCTTCTACAAAGTTTAAAAGAATAAATACTAATGGAGATCAAAGCATTGTCTTCTGTGAACCCTTCACTGGCCGAACTCATCAGGTTAAATAGAGTATTGTAACATAACAGTTATAGTTTTACGCAGTGATTGTGTCGGATGCAATAACGTTTTCTACCAAGCTCAAGCTTGTCATCTATCTTCTATTTCATTCACCTCATATTTTATCACTTTTATGGTGTTATTTTTACTATCAAAGTTCATTATCATCATGTTAAGATATATGTGGAACTCGAAAAGCATGCTCTTTTGAATTTATGAATTATAAGCTTTAGAATATTAATTTATTACGTTGACCATCTATAATATATAATTGGTGAGGGTCTGATCACTATGCTTGGAGGTGATGGGCCTGTAATTGTATATACTCCGTATGTGATATGTGAGATGTGATGAAAAGTGTTGTCAGAGTATTCACACTTTTTTTTATTTTTATTTATTTTTTATTATAGCATTTAATAATAAAATTGTTTTAATCCAATAGTGTAGGAGTTCTTGGATTTGTTTGCTACAAGATTGACCTAACCTATCCATCTTTGAAGTTGTAGGCTTGTAGCATGTAGAGTTGTAATTTCGATTCTAACCATTTAAGATAGTTGATCTAGTGAATTGAATAGTGTAAATTAGTTTTCCTAGCTTGTCTGTGTTGCTTCTTTGCACAAGAAATCTAAATATATATTGATTTTGTTGATTCAATTTTCACCTGTTTGCCAGATACGAGTTCATCTCCAGTATGCTGGTCACCCAATTGCCAATGACATGCTCTATCTTGGTAAATCAGTTGGTCGGCGTTCTACTGAAGGGAAAAGTGCTGATAGAGTAGCTGCCCAATTGAGGGATTCTATATCATCCAAAACTTCTGAAAACAATGAACAGCCAGAAGAAGAATTCTTCACAGATTTTGATATGGATCCTTTGTGTACACATTGCCCAAATTTGGCCCCTACAGGGTAAGAATTGTTCTTGTCAATAATTTTTAGGATAAGCTTACCTCTGAAATATGCTGCTAAGAGGAAAGCAGAAGGGGAATTGTTTATTGGTATTAATGTGCATAGTAAGTGCTGCTGGAGCATCTAAACTAGAAATAATGCAAATAGAATTTTGCTGCATGAGAGTGGTTGGGTGGTGTGTGTGTGTGTGTGGGGGGGGGGGGGGAGCGGTTGCAATATGTCGCATGAGAGCCTGAGTACTTTCTCATAGGACCAAAAAGCCGCTTATGTATTTACTTAATAGAGAATATACCCATTTTCTGAAAATTGGACCAGCCTTCACAAGAAAAATTATCAACTAGACCTCTGCAACCTAGATAATTTTTCATTATCCATGACATGTTGCTTAGGAGAGTGAAAGAGTTTAATTTATTTCCGGTTCCTTTGTAAATGTTTTTTGTATGTTTTAAATATGCTATTTGTATACATGTCTTTATTTAAGTACTGAGTTACTGACTTTCCTCTATTGCAGGTTTTTTTTTTTTTTTATTTTTTTTTTTTTAATTTAATATTTACAACTATATTGTTTTATTTTGATGGTATTTTACTTTGATGATAATGCTGTGCTCCTTTTGCTCAAGGTACGACGGGCTTGAAGAGGGGTTATGGCTTCACTGCATAAGGTACACTGGACCTGATTGGACATATGAGTGCCCATATCCAGATTGGGCAAAACTTGATTGATAATGAGTGGTCCATATCTAAAAAATTACTCGTGTTTTTGAGAGCTTGAAGCTGGCAATTTCCTACGAACTAGTCAAGTTCAGAGCAGTTAACTTTTGAATTTTTCTGCTCTGTCCTATAGATTCTGACCAATTTTATACTCGGTATATTGATATTCAACTATTGCTTCATTGATTATTTTTTTCCAGATTTTACTGTATGGATAACTATTGTTTGAGTGTTTTACAGTGTTCAGCGTTACAGAATATATTTTTCTTTTGTATATTGCCAAATCGCATGCCAACTTAAATCTCATCAGGCAAGCACAAGTGGAAGCTTTAATAAGCTTTGCGCTTGACACACAGTGCATATTCTTTTTCGCATGATTCCAATTACAGGTTGAAATAACGTTAACACTTCTGCAAATCAAATCAGGATATCAGGTATCTCTGTTAGGTAATTGATCTGGCATATTTAGTTCTCAATATAGCTTTCCCTTTTTTCATTATAGGTTTTAGCCATCTCAGTTTTGGAGGTCTATCACTTGAGAGTAGAGGGTGTAGGTAAGGGAGTCCCTCTACTCCCAAGTATTTTGTAGTTGGTGGGGCTCAAACTCGTGACTTCAAAGTCACAAGGTGAGTTTCCCACCAACTCCTCCAAGTTATGCTTGGTTATGTTTAAATGAATTTACACTATACAAATTCTATAAATTAAATTTCTTTCTTAATTTATAAATCATGAATCAAACTATATATTATTTATGTATTTATTTATTTATTTTACAATTGATACAAACATATTAATATTAAAGCAAATAAAATGAACCGCCGCTTCCCCAGCTTTTTGATGAGCTCGATGAACGTGCTGACGATCCGCCTTGTGTATGCTACAATATTGAAAGGTATAGCCAAGCAATTTAATCTTGCGGATGAGCCAAAGGTAAGCAATGTTACCATGACCATCCCCCCGAAGAAGAGAAATAAGATTATAGGAATCAGTAAATACCGTTAGGGACTGAAACCCTCGATCAAAAGCCCACCGTAACCCATGTATGCAAGCCAGAGCCTCCGCATTTAAAGAAGAGGTACAAACCCCCAAAGTTACGTCCACCAATGATCCTATCATCCAACAGGTCACCATTATCCACACACCATCCCAGTGGCGGAGCCAAAAATTTTGTAACGGGGGACAAGTTAACATCTTATAGAAAAAAAAATCAATACTTGAACCAGTAGTTAATTAAATAATTAAATTTTACAACTAAAAAATCCAAAACACTTACTAAAAAATCCAACTTCATATACTAATTTTTCCTCCTCCGATAATACAATACTAGTACCTGAACAATGACTACTCTATGAAAAATTACTTTTGGCCGAGTTCCAATTTTGACAAATTCTAACATAACTACATAAGATAATATAAATAATTAAATGTACTTAGCATGATTCCCTATTACAAATTTACAACCATAATTTATTATAAAAAAAGAAAAAAAAAAGAAAAGGCAATTTCCTTAGACATCCATTATTATATTTAAAATTAAAGAAAATAAAAAAGGGACAAAAGCTGCATGCAAAAGGGGTAAGAAATAAATCAGCATGTTTCGATCCCGCGTCCACAGTGAACAAGCTCTATAAAAAAGACTTAACTATTGCGTCCTCTAAATTGTTGTTTTAGTCTTGTGCAAGCAATTATATTTATCTACATTATAAGCTGATTTTTTTAAAAAAATAAAAGTGGGGGGATAGCTGTCCCCCCATGTACCCCCTAGTTCCGCTCCTGCACCATCCCATCCCAGCTTGTAATGAATCTTTGAACCAAGACCCATCAATTTGAAGAGAAAGTAAAGCTAGCCCTTGAGTACCCAGTCCCAGCTGATCTATGTAAAACTCAGGCGGAGGAGAGGCACCACCATCGCCCCCCCCCCCCCCCCCCCGCAACGTAGGGGGTGTTCACAGAAGCGTTCGTAATGACCAAGATTGTATGTGTGTCCATAACCTCTACAAACTGTGAAGCAAACGGCCGAGAAGTAGTAGAATTCCTACAGATTTCGGAATTCCGACATGACCACAGACTTGAAAGCGTACTGACGAAGGTACCTAAGAGAGTACTTAAAGGCCCATCCCGACCAATAAAAAATCGGATATACTCTTGGATCCAATCTAAGAGAGAAAGGTCTCCATCAAATTCTAAGTAGATACCGAGGCATCCACTCCCCCAAACTGTTCGTGCATTGAAGCGCATTCTAAAGAGATGTTGTAAGTCCTCTGGTTATGACCTACAGAGGTCACAGAACTCATCTTAAATCAGAACACCTCTATGACGAAGTTCCACCTTAACTGCAAGAGCACGATGTAGAAGTTTCCATAAAAACAACTTCCATTTTAGTTGTAATTGGAGAGACCAAAGAACTTTCCAAAAGAACCCCATACTAGAATGTGTGGAAGCGGGAGAGAGTTGTTGTAGCATTGCATAACCTGTTTTCACCGAGTACCGCCCCGACGGGGTACTTGACCAATAACGGAAGTCTTCTTGAGTTGCATCAGGTAACTCCATAGCTAAGACTAGGGCTGAGCAAAACTACCCGAAAAACCAAAAACCCGAAAAACCAATCCGTAACCGTTTCGAAAATTAGGGTACCTGATCCCGATAACCATAACGGTTCGGGTACCCGTTCCGATAATTTGTTATTGGGTATGGTTATGTGTATCATTTTAAAATTAACGGTTACCCGATCCGATCCGATAAGCATTTTTTTTTTTGCTTTTTTTCCCTACTTAAATATATTAATATAAATCTAAACTTTTACTTTACTTCATAATCACTTTATAATATCAATGATTAGTAATATTATTAATAATTTGGTCAAGATCATATGGTATTGTTTTTAATTAGTTGTAAATTATATCATAATAACTACATAATTAAGTTTAATTATCATTATTGGATATCTTATTGGGTACCCAATAACCGATCCGAAAATTCGGGTACCCGAACTTATCGGTTCCGTTTATGGGTATCACTTTTAGTAATTTTGGTTATCGGGTACCCGAACCGTTAGTACTAACGGTACGGGTACCCGTCCCATGCTCACCCCTAGCTAAGACTGTTGAGGCATCCGTATGAACAAACCAATCAACAACTTAATCAATGTCCTACCCTAATGTTTGAGGGTGAATGAAAAAACTGACTGTATGAGATGTTGTATTTTGTAAGGAAATCCCGGGTTTGAACTCCGGAATGCTACCATTGACCCAAGTAGTTGAACCAGCTAGAGTCGATCGCCCATTACCAATTTTCCAATTACAAACCAATCAAAACATATTGAACTACATATAATTGGTTTTTTTTTTTTTTTTTTTTTTTTTTTTTTTTTTTTTTTAAATTATTTGTTAAATTTAATAAAAAGTTTACATTAAAAAACTTGATTACACTTAGCTACTCTTATGGGCCCCTTTATATTTTTCTGTCCCTAGGCCCCCAAAATATAAAAAATTGTCTTATTTATACCTTCTAAGATTAGTTATTAGCAAATTTAATATAATCTAATACATCGAATCATATCATATCACTAATATATAAAGCTAATCTCGCAGCCAGGCCACTAGACAACAACACTTGGCATTCTAATTTTTCGCCAAGTGTCGCACTACGTAGGCGATAAATTGGTATTATTAAGTAATCGATTTTTGGATAGATTTTTAAGATATAATTATTTTATAGAGTTTTATTAACGATAGAGTTCTAATATTCATGTATACAAAATTAAGCATATAACTTTTAAAAAATATTCTATAACTCGTTCTATTTCCATCATCAAATTCGTTTTATAAGTTTTTTAAAATAAGATAAATTTATAATATAAATTTAAAATAATAAGAAGTAAAAATAAGTTTTTATTGATAAAAAATACTTTAAAAAATAATTTAAGTATGATATTGCACGCTAAATATATGATTGTATTTAACATTCAAGTCAAATTGTTTATCCTAAAATTCAATAACAACCTAGGCATCGCACGGGGGCACAAAACTAGATTTTATTGTCACGAGACTGGTCACAAGATACACTGGGCATTCTAATTTTTCGCCAAGTGTCAAGCCATGTAGGCGACAAACAAATTTTATTGTGATTAGTTAGATGTATCGTTAGATTAGATTGGATAGATTTGTTAGGATAAAAAAAGTATACATAAAATAATTTATAATTCTTTTGAAAAAACATTATATTTTTATTGGCAAAAGAATTTTACTTATAAACAAAATGCCACATATTACAATTAATATGAATATCCAATTAACGACAATAGGGTTTTACTCCTGTACGAATAACCACAGAATTATAATTATAAATATGGCGATGTATCATTATTTTTTTTAGTCTACCTTTGATTTACCATCAAAGCTATTGAATCATGCATTCTTTACATTCGGTTGCAATTTTTTTTAACTTAAATACGTTTTATTAATAATTTATTTTTTTAAAAGGTACTACTAAATTTAATGCTACAATTATTATAATTAAAAAAAAAACATGCTCGGGGACTCTCACTAGTCACTAATTATAAAGCTGGTTTTGCAGCTAGGTCACGAGACAACGTCACTTGACATTCTAGTTTTTCTCCAAGTGTCGTGCCACGTAGGCGATAAATAGGATGCTAAATAATTGAATTTTGATAGATTTTTGAAGATAAAAATATTGTATAAAACTTTATCATTGATACACTACTAATATTTCATATATATACAAAATCAACCATAACTTCTAATAAAAATCTAATAACTGTTATATTTCCATCATAAAATTCATTTTAAAAATTCTTTAAAATAAGATCCATTTATAACATATTTAAAATAATAGAGAATTTGTAAAAATAAGTTTTAGTTGCTAATAGTACTCAGTTTAGTAAAAATAATTTAATTATGATATCCTGCATTATTATCAAAAGTGATTATATGATTTTATTTAACATTCAAGCCAAAATGCTATATTATTATTATAATAATAATAATAATAATAATAATAATTATTATTATTATTATTATTATTATTATTATTATTATTATTATTATTATTATATGATTTTAAAATGTTTTGGGGTTCCATGTTTTTAATATATTTTTCATAAATATTTTAATATGTATATTTGTATACAAACATATATATAATAATAAATAATCAAAGATCATTAAACCGTAATTAAAAATCACTAATCAATAAGTTCAGTTCAGCTCATTTCAGTCAATGAGAACAGGCTCTTAGAGCTCCACATAGAGATTTATTTTTAAAAAATTATAGAGCGCCACTGAGGATTAATAATTTTAAAACGCTACAATCAGGTTATGCCACGTAAGATTGATTTTTTTAAAAGCGTAG